GTTTTTAGAGCGAATTGTCATTCTGAAGAGTAAAATCTCACTCTTAAGATTAAAAATTAAATCATTCTTTTTCAAGACTGGCTCAATTTTCACTTTTTAAAGTGAGATTCTATTTGAAAAAATTTAGGAAGTATATTTAATTATTTTAAGGATCCTAAATAAAACTGATCTCTTTCTCTTTCTTTTATTTATTTAGACATAGCACACGGCAATTTCACGCCCGAGGAAGCCCCGACCACCGAATCACCTATCCAGAGTGATGTCTTCGTCGAGAAGAACGGCGCCGCCGAGGGCGAACTACCAGTTTCGACTGCGAAACACGACGACCCCACGTACATGGCGATCGTGATCGGCGTGCTGACCGCCGTAATACTTTCACTCGCCGTAGCGATATTTCTGATTGTTTCGCGACACAGACAACGCAAGTGCTTCGCCAGCCCTATGACTGGTAAAGCCCCTTCGCATTTAGGATCCACCTGCGCTACCGTCGAGAAAGGCGCAGCTCTGATGGCATACACCTTAGAAGATGATGAAAGGTACAATCGATTACTTGATGAAAAATAAAAAAATAACCGTAAAAAGAAAATGAAATGCTGCTGCTAGATAATACGATCTTAAATAATGTAATCCAAAATGTAATTCCTTCAAATGTAATTAATTGCGCTTTCACGTATATCTTACATTAATATAATTTTTTTATGATTAAAATATGTTAATTGTTGAAAGATAAAAAAATTGTATAATTTAAAAATATATTATTCGAGCAAAAACAATATTTTTCGCGTTATAATATTCTAATTAAAATATTTAAATGATGTTTTAATAGCTTTAAAATAATTAAATTTATTAGCTATTGGTGGTAAGCTCAAATAACTTTGAATGGTCTTTATTACTTTTTACCGACATTCTCATTTATTGCGCCGCCATGTCTAGACAGCCGGATATAGGGTCATGCGAATACTCGCTTTTGCATCGCGAAGCATGTTTAATGATAATACACAAGCGCCGTATGGGGCACCGTATTCCTCATTTCTTCCAAGTTTGTGTCTACAGTACACTCGCTCAGATGACGGAAGCAGCCTTCCAATAAACTTTCCATCTACCATGCTCGTTAGTGAACGTCCAATAACGTCCAATAACGGACATCCTCGGGCAATATATCGAGTTTGTGCGGCACGAATGTCTCCAAAGGAGATCCTCCGGCCGCCTCGTAACTCCGAAGCATCCCGCACCAGTTTCGGCATCGATCCCCTCTTTCCGAGTTCCCTGTCCGCTTTGTGCAATCCGATATTGCAGTTGCGAGCTTCGTACCGAAAGAGAGAACGTGTAACGTGCAACTTCAAGTAGGCGTACGAATGTTGCGCTGAGCCTTTGACGGACCGCGTGTTCCGCACACATAATACTAAAATTTCCAAGCGGAAAATATACTGCTCTTGAAAACCGAAGATCTGTACAATCCGCAAAGTCAGAGTTATTTCAATGCATTTTAAATGCGATTCTTTTTAAATGCGATGCGAATTAATAACATCTCATCGCATTAATATATACTATGATTTAAAATGAAGCTATTTATATAAGACTGATAAAAAATGCTTATTGTATGATGTGATTTGACTATACCTAAGTAGATGATAATATCGAGTTGCATGTATAAAAAGGAATATATGTTATATGACGAAAAAAAATATATTTTGTTATTAGTCAAAGAACGAAAAATATAAGGGTAATTTAATAGAAATTTTATAATAGACTGAGGTCGCATAATGTATTCAATAACAAAACATATATTATTGCATCAATAATATACATTTCATATATGTTTGATTGATTACACTATGTGACCTCAATCTTTTATACAATTTGAACATTTTTGTCAATCTATCTAAATTATCTCGCTTTACCCTATTTATATATAGCTACAAGAAATTATTGGCCATCATGACCTGATGATAAATGGAATGACTATTAATCAATTGCTTCTCTTTCAGATACGCAGGCGGTTCTCTACCGACTTTGCCCCTCGGAAATCGTCTTCTAGACATCGTGAAGTTGGACGACTACCAAGAGCCATATCAGGCGCTAAAGTACGCTCCGTACTACAGCTACAGCACCGTCGTTATGGAGATGAAAGACATGATGCTGAACAACAAGGGCACCAACATCAATCACTCAGGTATGCGGCGCTCGAACGCAACTACACCTACGGCGTCTACATCTACATCTATTCGCGACTATTTGCATACGCACATTTACACACACATACACACACACACACACACACACACACACACGCGCACGCACACACACGCACGCACACACTCGCACGCACGCACGCACGCACACGCACGTACACACTTATGTACGCACTCTGCGTACATACATTCAAACGCCGCGGCTCCTGTGCCAACGGCCATGCACCTACATACGTCCCAGCAACAAAGCATTCGCTCTGACCGCAATCAATACACCATCCCCTTCTGCGCTCGCTCCTCCTTTGCTATATCATCCGCAGCAGTATACGCAAACGGTGCAGTTGACACGTCGTACGATTATGCGGTACCGGAACTCGGCACGGTACCCCTGCTCAATCAGGATGCCGGCGCCGGCCGCGGAGCGACCGTCTCCAACGCCACCGGCGATCAGGACTTCTTTTCCAAGAGTTCGCGGACCAAGACCGAGGACAAGAAGGTGATAAATTCACATTTTCTTAATCCTTTACGAGTTTAATTTTATATTTTACGTTAGTTAATACGTTAATTTAATAAACATATATATATAT